AATTTGGTGGAAAAAATTCGCAATAATTATGCATGAACCTAATATATATAGGCAGGTAAAATGCAGGGGAAATAGAAAATATCAAAATAATCGTGTTTGACCGCCAGAAAATCATGTGTACTTTCACTAGATAATCTAATGAACGATCGCTGAAAAGCTACTGAGATCGTGGAATGACTGTGCCACCTTCCAATCTTTCTCGAAGTAGTAAAGCCTAATTTTGCGAATATGCGGATGGTTTTTGAGTATATTCTTGTAGAGGAAATCAAGTAGATCATTTCTAGAAGAAACCCGAACTCAATATTCAAATTCTATCGAGAGAAAAAAAGCCGCGAAAAAATCCGCAATAGTTATGCATCAAACTAATAGTTTCTGTGGTCTAGCCGCCAGGAGCGGGAGTTTTCGTGGTAAAGTGGTGCTGGCCCAGCTGTCCGAGCTTCCCGAAGAAGGTGGTTCTTCGAGTTTTTGTGGTGCGTTACTAGTTGTAACATTTGTGATTTTACCATACCCATATTTTATTAAACAGCATAAATAAGAATTAACCAAAAGAAGTGACGATGCGAAGATGAATTGGAGAATCATGCGGACACTAGCTGAAGAGGTCCAATTTAAGGTTCACAACATATGACGGAGATGCCGCAGACCCTCAATTTTTTAGATGTCGATAGTAGACATGGGACGGGAATAACAATGAGATATTCCGACAATGAAGCCTTTGATGTAGAAGAAACCAAAACCAAAACAAAAAATACCCGGATCTGACAGCTGTTTGGGTGGCTATGCACCATAAGAGATCAGTAGATTTTTCCAAGTCCTACTGGGTTCCGTCTGAGACCAGTACTGGCACTATATCAATGTGCATGATAAAAATAAATCGTGCAAATGAATCATGAACATTTCGAACATGAACCACGACGGCGGGTTTGGGGTATGTTCGAGAGCTATCATATTCAATCATGGCAAGGGATCAAATCTCAATTAGACCTTCATATCTACACCCACACCGAGTGCACCTTTTAGGCGAACAATATCACCAGATAAAGAACTGGACGAGATTTCCATTCTGTGGCAATAGATTGATTCTCAATAGGCTAACATTACATTTTCGCGCTTAGCCAGATCGGACGAATCGGTGGAACTACCTTCAATACCCAATGTTAGCTATTGAAGGCCTCACTGGGAACAGACGCCTCTGCCTGTATTGAGGATATGGATCTTTGAAGGGTTAGAAAGTGGAAGAGTGAAGGGTAAAGTATAAAGTCTCTTGACGCTGATCAATCCTGTTTGAGGGATCCGCTCCCACAATCGACCTCCATTCAGAATCGTAGTGGCGTATGAGTGCGTATGGGGCCTATACAATGACTTGCCGTGGTCTGCCGATTAACAAATCAGTCTTCCATCCTCTCAGACTAGTTCAATAGAAGGTTTGGTTGGCATAGACAGATATCGCTCCAGGATTCCAACCCATGACCGAGTTTATTAAGGAATGCTCCATTTGCCACCTACATCACCTCCGCCCAAATCAGAAGAGTGAATGCATAGTTTATATCGTTTTTTTTNTTTTTTTTGAACAACTTCATTTTGATTTTTGATAACAGCAATATACAGTATATAGAAAAAAGAATAAAAAGGAATAATTAACAAATGATAAAAAAATAAAATAATATTTCAACTAGGTGGATGCTATTTCACAAAACATCACTACATGCACCTACAACCTAGTGAAGGCAATACTGCTAGCCATCGGGTGCTATCGCACAGCTGGTAGCTGCCACTGGACTTTCGTAAACGATGACGCTTTGCTGACTCTACTCGTCAACGAACGTCATCTAACGAGATTTGGAAGACCCACGACCGACGTCTGCATTAAAAAATGGAAACGGAACGTTGACGAAGAATGGCTTGCAGGCGCCAAAATCATTTTAGTGCAAACGCACTGCCGGCCAGAATAAATCGGTGATTTTGTTCGCCCACACCAACGTGCTCAAAAAATCCTTTTGGAATTTCATATCGTCATTCCCAGCAAAAATGATGAAGAGACTAGGCTAAGAAAACGATGGAGAAGGCATTGGAGGCTTTGTTGACAAATAACACGGAGGAAATGAAATTGGCAATAAATCTGGTAAAATTAGAAAGCCAACCATTCCAGTTGTTCTGAGGCAACCGATATATACATACCTATGCCTTTCACGCTAAATAGGCAAAGGAGGGAGCCTAATATCTAATTAAACGAACTGATGTATTTCTTTTTTCTAACGACTGTATCAATAGTCAAAGCTTGGTCCTCTGAAGAAGTTCCATTTATGAGTTGGAATTCCTCTATGAAGGAATTCGAACATCTATGCTACCGCTTTCTCCAATAAATTGGGACCTTTGACTTTGGCTCAAAGAGCACATATTTTAAAAAGGGCAGAGGTGGTGTAGTGGCAATGACACACTATGTCACGCACATGGTCAGGGGTTCGAATCCCGGATCGATATCCGCCTAGACCAACCAGGCCTTCCATCCCTCCGGAGTCGGTTAATTCGTACCAGACTCGTCTGGGAGGATAAAAGCACTGACTTGTACATCGGCTGGCCACCGCAAGTTATGGTATAGTCCACATACATAGGCATTCAGTACCACTACGATATTGAGTGGAAGTCGAATGCGGGGGCGCATCCATCCGGGGTTTGTTTAAGGCCGAAAAGACTGATCAACAGTATTTTGTAGAGTTCTGTTCCAACCCAACCACATGTTTCAAGAGATCCTTAAAACTACCATTTTCACCTTAATAACTACGCTAGAAACCAGATGCTAATGATAAATCCAGATGTAGCCGGTTCATCTTCTCAGTGGTAGTTTGTTGATCCTCAATCTCATTTATACAGGATCAGATTGACGTCAATGTTATGACAAAGCAAATCCATGTTGAAAAATCAGAAAACTACGCTTTATTAAATAGATTACGCCATTACTTTGGTTGTGATATGATATCGGAGAACTAACTCTTTATAACGTCACAGAAGGCACTGACAGAGCCTGAAAAATAGTTACCTGCAGAATCGAGCCTTACTTCCCGACAAAGGCTTGAAAGCAGCGTTCACGGTGGGCAGGCCAGGAGAGAGTAAGAGCTGCCAGAAGAAAAGACAAAATTTTGCTCAAGACTTTTTTGGGTGGAGGTACTTATCCCCTAACCTGTACGGGAAACGGCAGTGGATCCGCTGCGGCTACCGTATCCCTCCGCTGGACATTTCAACCTTTCCCTTTATAGCGTGCGACGGCGCGCGAACGGCAGCGGCGAGCGCGACGCGGTTTCTGGGGACAGGTTACCACAACCAATACTGGCACAAACTATGTATTCTTGAAAAGCCATTTAGCCTCGAAGATCTGGCAATCTAAGAAGTTTAGGATAAGGATAATTCAAAGTAGAAGGTATCGTCAAAGCGATTCGGCCGATGGGATCCTGGCCGGCTGTCTGCTGTCCCTCACGAAACGCCGGTGGCTTTATTTGAATGACGTTGTGGACTTTTCTCAAAACTGAAGGGCCTAAATGGGAGGTGTCTGATGAAAGAATCTTACATCACTCGAGACTCTCGATGATCGTTTAATTCACTTGAGCCTGATGTTGTGCGGTTAGGAGGTTTTTTAGGGCCTCCTCAACGCCAGTTCTGAATGGATACCAAAAAAACTATTTGACTTCCTAAACTTTTACCATGCCAGCAGTCCTCCTCGGAGTAGACTTTTCATGTTTGAGAAAGCCGTCGTACGGCCCGAGGAAAAGCTCTTCAGATACGAAACATTAAGGTAGGTGTACACGAAAACTTAGTGGCGTATGAAGTGATCATGGGCATGGGCAGTCAATGGATTGTCGTCTGTCTGGAAGCCTGAGTGAAGCTAAGAGTGAGCACACAGTTGTTTTGCGCGAATCGCAAACGAAATCAGCGAGTAATCGGTCAACGCATGGCTGCCTCTCTTCTTTCTCTTCGTCATCCTCCAATCCCTCGATCACAAAAATAGATTTGTCAGCAGACATACGGATGTCAATCTCAGCTAAGCACTTTCTTGTTTAGCTACGCCACATGGTTTGGGCGGATTAATGAACTGGATTCGCAGAAATGTTGCGGGCGGCCTCCAAATACAATCAGGAAACTACACACAACCCATGTGAATCTGGGGAGGGTGCACTTATTCCTCACTTCTATCCGTCGAGAGCTATGGCATGCACCTAACTATACAGAGATTTTAAAGTGCTGAACGTGAATAGCACTTTAGCCGTTAGACAGCGCTTCTTCTTCCTCATTCTGTTACAAAATTCCATGTTTATGTAGGTTCAAAGTGATACACAACACAAAGTAGTAATGAACGAGGTAAGCAGAATGAAACTTCTCACTACCCCTGACTGTTCGCTCGTTCCTAGCCTGTACCGAAAGGGAATGTAAATACATTCGTACAAGTATCAGCTGTTCAAGTCATTTTTTTGTCCTCCCCCATGAGAAAACGCAAACAATCGCACCGCCCGTATAGAGGGCACGTTAAACCCAGCCCAGCCGGGTATCCTCCCAGGATTCGATACGTGAAGTGTGAGAATGGTAGTGTGCTCCACATGCCGCAACAGATCTCTACTTCGACTGTGAAGAGTTATGAGAAGACTTTTCGAAATATAGACAAGAAAGAGAAATAAATAAATAGATAAATAAATAAATAGAGGTATCAAGACTCTCAGATACGAAGATTTAGAAAGGACTTAAAACGATATAGTTGTGAGGGTAGGGACAGAGAAAGGCGTGACCAACGTGTTGAAAAAGAGCATGGCAAAAATGAAGAACCGGGTAAATCTCACTTTTACATACTGAGCTCCAGTACTACTTTGCTATTGAACCTACCATTTCAGGGTGTCTGAAATAGTCCTATACGGGACTTTTGACGAGATGCGCCGCGTCTCAAGAACTAGCAACCATGCATTCACGATACTATAGGCTAGGAAGAGAAAGCTCAGAGATGAAGATGTTGCGTGTCCTGTAGAACAAGGGATTGTACCACAGCTTTCATCTTATCTGATTATTTCCTATTTCGAAAATATGTTACTCTTGCCTGCTCGATTGATGCAGTTTTGTTTTCCTTTTCGCCTTTCGTTTGTTATGAGAACTGCCCCATATGCTGTGCACCCGACCTCCAAATTCAGTAGGATGTTGTATGGGATGCCTGATGTTCAGGTTGTACAACTCGACTTGAAAAAATACAAATTTATTACAAAGCTATACATGACTTGGTATAATTGCATTGGGCAACTTATTGTTGATCAGCTCATGTGATGATAAAGAATCTTCTAACTATTTGGGCTAAATATACAGCGTGACATCAACATGGTATGGGCACTGTCACCTACTCTCTAATACAACATTTGTACAGAGATGAATATTTGTATCTTCTATGACGAGACCATACCTCGGTTCCTACAGAGACTTGCGAGATTCACCTAAACAAGAAGCGTTATGGAAGCAATGACAGTCACTGAAGCAAAAAGAAGGACAAGGAACCGAGGTATGAAATATTTAAATAAATCCTAACTGAGCAAAGCGACTAGTCAGGCTTATGCAACAAATATTTAATGCTTCAGAAATATTCAGAATTCACAACCTCTAACATTAGCTCGAAATTATTAACAACAAACCTCTTCAATTTATATTTTCTAATAATTCTAGACGGCTTACAGAGACAGAGCAATCAACGACGTCCAACATTTAAAGGTAGCATCGCACTGGCACAGTATCGATCCAGTAAACCTTGGACGCCGCCTGACGCTATGTCGCTGTAGGTTCCGTGAGTAAAAACAATGAAGTGAAGCGATTGACCAGCAGCGCGAAAAAAAANAAAAAAAATTGACTAGAAACCCGCTGGGGCTACAACTAGCAAACAGAGGTTACTGAATTGAACAAGAACCAACAAGGCATTATCATGAAGAAGGCAGTGTCATATTGGCTGTCTATGCTTTTGACAACCGCATGAAATTCAAGAGAAAAATGCTAAATGCACAGAACCAGATATATCGAGAAAAACTCTAGTGACTTAATTTTGCCGTGACCGCGTCCCCATGAGTACCGCTAAACAACCCTCCGCTAAACCTACAATTCCATTCGGATGTGTTTCTGTTGGGGACGGTTTTTCACGGAACACTAGCTCCACACCCCTACTTCGATGTACTGCTGCGGGTTCAATGCCGACAGATGTTCCGGATCGTACAACAAGAAACTCCTCGCCACCTAGGAGTCTATACTTCAAAGAGAATGTGCTCGAAAAATTCTTTTCAATTTTATAAAACTGATAAATTCGAAGGCTTTCTCGTCTAAACGCTTTCCCTCGAGTGAATGCTGTGAGTCACTCGTCGGTGATCTTCACAGACAGATATGTTGTACTACTTTATTTGGGAAAGGCACTCACCTTTGAGCAAAACGTTAGAAGCGGCGTCTACGGGTAACGATGATATACGCGGAAAACGGGGTCTAGGCAGTACATTTTGTTCCTGTTGGATTTCCTGTTCTTCTTTCGAAGAGTTACTATGCTTGTCCTCACTAGGTAGACTGATAACTGGGATCTGGAAAGGTCTTTTTATGCTAGTATGGAATATTGACTGCAAATTTACCGACCTTTATCCCACGTTGTTTCAGAGCGGTTTCGAGTTGTGCAATCCGTAACTCCAATTCCTCCAAAATCTGAAATCCACGTGGAGTAAGAATGTGAAAGTGTGGACGGCAGACAAAATTATTGACTTACTCTTTCACTTTCCTCCCGGTATTCCTCAAATTCTTGCAATTTGACGGTTTCTGGAGTGTTGAGTTTCGTATAAATATAATAACCCCAGAAAACACCCAAGGAATACGTGAACAATACAAGTTGTTGAACGAAATCGGAAGCCTGCAACAAAATACTAATCTTCAAAAAATAAAAAATCGCAGATTTGCCAAGAAAAAACGTAGTCGTAAACCCATCACCCTGTTATCTATAGGCCCTTAATCAGTCAGCATTAGGACACTGTCGAAGAAAAAAGACGCCGAAAGAAGAAATGTTAGAATAGAGGCTCTGGTACGTTCTCAACATGGTTAGTCTACCAAGACAAAAATTCAAGAAATCACGTTGGATATTCCCGACCAGATACCTGCTCAAGAGCTGCAGCTTCGGAGACTGCAGGAATCTTGGTGAGCTCACCAAGGCCGAGTCGTTTCATCCGCAACCGAGCTGTCATCCGAACGATACCTGCGCAAAGTTTGGTGAAGATAGCAAGTATTTCAAGGAGTAATCAGGGTAGACAGTTGAAAAACAAGCTACTACTCTCTATTAGGCCGCTGCGTCCCAAAAATGTAGAAAGGCTTCCTCTTTTCCGAAAAATTTTGTTATCGACGCGATGTGTGAAAGATACCAGTGTCGAGACCTCGAAGAGAAGCTCTCCAGGCAGATATTATCTCTAGAACTAAATGGCGCACCTCTCCCTATGGGAATCAGAATCTTATTCCGAAATATAGGATGGTTTTTGCCATAGCGAAGTACTGCATCCGCCACTGGTTTGGATATCTGAAACAATCAACAACAACAGTAAATGATGCAAAGGCAAACACTACAAACATGAAGATCTTTAAACATTACTACCTGCCTGGCGGCGATCATAAAAACTTGGATCATTGGAATACCCATATTTGCTGAGAAGGGTTGACTTAGAAATCTAAACGAGACCTGTAAAAATTAAGTTGGGCGGAAAGCAATAACATCGTAATTCTGACAACAACTAGAACATTGAAGAAAAGACGTAAAGCTCACTGGATGAAACCAGAAGCACGCAGCTTCCATACACTCCCACAGTTGAGAAACTTTATAGTAAAATCACAATAAAGCATAAATCTGGTGGAGCATAACTATACCAACTTTTCCAAGTAATGCCGTTACAAGCCGTTTGATACCGAAAATGTGTGGAAATACAACAGGCTATGAATAATCCAAACAGGAATAACAAAAATCAACAACTGAACAAATAATAAAATTTTATACTAACAATCGAATGTAACAAGAACAAATCTATTACGTGTACTATGCAGCTCATTCATGTTTGAAAACAGATGAAATCTGTTCTCGAAGTAACCTGCACTTTTCTTCCATTACCTGAAGAAAAAGACCGGTGATTCAGTGCATAGTGACTCAAAAAAGTTTTGAAGATATAATAGAAGAATTAAAATGTAAATGCAACTACCTTACAGGCTTCCACAACCAATTCCGCGGACTTCAGAGCACCTGTTGACTCAACGCTGACTGAAATAAATGCTCAAGCCCGACGCTAAAGATAGGAAGATCCATTTCAAAGATAAAGTTATTGCTTACAAATGAAGTAATCCTTTCTCCTTCCTAGGTCTACCAAAGGTGCCAAGTCATCATGCCTGAATATATTCCTACTACAAGTATCTCGTCGAGCATCAGCGACCACCGCGAACTGCTCACCTAGATGCACGAATTGGAGATTTGACTTTAGAGATGGAACGTAAATTCGTAGTAAACTCACCATCTTTCTCCTTAAGCTCGATAACACCTTCACTGAACGATTCCTGTAATCGAACTGCAGCCTCTCCACGCACTTCGCCGAGAAGACGAATTGTTGGAAGCAACCTGAACGGCTACTGATCGAAAGCACAAGAAGACGATGAAGGAACAAATCTCCACCACCAGCCATGTAGCCCTTCTCATCACTTATATGCATACAGACCAATATCAACACACAACGAAATACGAAGGAATATTGGATGTTTTCCAACGAGAGCAGATTTTAAAGAAAATTACCGGGTTCTACTCAAAAAATGCTCTTCATAAAAAGAATACGCTGAAGCAAACCTATATGTGGCGGTAGCTACTGGACTAAATTTCGCATGGTCACGTCCAATACCCTTCACAGCGTGACAGCTCGCTTCTATTTGTTGCCCAGGTCGAAGCTTTGCTACCAAAATATCGTCATGAACAATCCGAGGAGGATCATCAGCGAACTGCTTTTCCTACAATGAAAGGATGCAAGCGTGTTCAAATCGGTAAAACAGTACTCCATTGCCTCGAAAAACCTATTCCCACTGATATCTAAAATGGATATTGTATATACAAAAAANAAAAAAGGTAACTAGCAGAGCAGTCTTTTTCTCTACAAAACACAACAAGAAGAGACTACCCGCGTGCGAATTAGATTTGAAAGATATAAATCATGGATGCAATGATATGTAATAGCAAAGACAGCAAATACAAGACAGCAAAGACATAAACCTTTTCAAAACATTTCACGTGAAAGACCTGTTGAAAAAAAGGCACACCTGATCACCGCATGGCATCCATTTGAAAGCTCTAGAGTAGATTGATGACTGATGATAAAGCTGATGGGGTTCGGTGGCTGTAGTTGGTGCATTTCTATTACGAGTGCAAGTTACCTAAACAATACTCTTTGTTATTACACTTCCAACGTAGTGTAACATTCAAGATCTGTGCTCATTCCTTATTTCAACTCAGGAGCGAAAATTCAATAGAAGGAATACAAAGAACCAACATTTATGTTAAAAACAACATTACGGGTTGGATCTGGTTCGGGCTCTTCATCACAGTCGACGCCATGCTCGTTGATTCCAATAACCTAAACAGATAAACTCATAATATACAGAAGTCTGAAAAACTGAAGAAAAAAGGCTCCATTCGATAGGAAATAATGCTAATGACCTAATAGTGATAAATAATAAATATCTTTAGACTTTGCACACAAGAGTGATCCTACTACATAACGGCATACCTTTTCAGTGGGCATCAGAAACTTCCTCGGATCAACTTTAAGAGGGAGCAGACCGATTCTATGACAAAGAACCTCATCCTTGAATAAAGAACGTTGAGAGAAGCCAAATCGAACTATAGGCACCCCAAGCATAGTCTAAAAAAGGAAATTTGTAACGCTCACCTGGATGACGCTGGTATTCTGGTAGAGATATATTTTCTCGAACGCCATGGTGGGAACCTAAAGGATTCAAGGAATTGGATTTGCGATTACGAACCGTCGGACGAAAGGGTAAAAACTAGTTTAAACTACAGGGTCTATGACTAAGCTAAGCAAACGGACTGACCCTAGGTGTAGAGGTTGCACAATACACGCACCTCTGCTAACAGTACCCTCCTGAGAGCATTAGCTATTGGAGATTCAACATGAATGAGATCGAAATCGAGCGACATACCGTCGTCCATCTCATTTACAACTTGTACCTAAAAACACTAAAAATACCCACTGCCAGAAAAAATAAAAAGTGCTTACCTCAATACGTTTGCAGTAGTTCGTTACATCGAAAGGCCCTGTTGGAATCTGTGGGAAATCCGAGCCATCGTCATAGGTCTGTAATTGCTAAGCAACATTACGAAGGTAGGAATAATAGCTGAGGCAAACCTACATTTAAAACTCTTTCCTCCTCCATTTTTATTTCATTTACATGATACTCTTGAGGATCAACAGTTTCCGTCTTGGTTTTTGATGTACGTTTCCCTCCCATCTGAAATATTCTATGATATGGGCATTCCAACTACACAACCACACAGTGATGTACAAAGGGAGTAGACAGAAGTATCAACGCATAACGTCTTTGGGAAGCATCAGTAAACAGTGACTAGCTTTTATTAGTAACAACATGTTAAAAAAATAACAACCCATGGAACAACTCGGTCAATAAAGCCAGAAATAGCTGTAAAATAAGTGAAAATTCTTGCTCAATTAAAAACATGAAATATGAAGCAAACCTATAATGCTCAGTTAGTTAACTGAATAAAAGAAACTTCCAAAACCATGGAAGGCGTGATAAAGTGAATAGAAAAGGAATCAAACAATACCAGCGAAATCCATATCACAGTAAGCGCTCAAATGAAGGTCAACCCTATTATTCTTGGACTTTGTCCGTCCAAATTCCAAAACGGTACCGGAACCAGATAAGAATCAAATCCCTTCCCATTTGTAACCATGATATGACAGGAACAATCTTGGAGCCTTCCACCTCGTGCCAAGTAACACAAACCTGAAATCAGGTCCAAATTAACGAAGGATTGCTTTGCACTGATCCGCCATGCAAATGCGTCTACCATGGACTGTCAGTCTTGCCATCTGCTTCAATCTTTCCCTATTAGCCCTACCAATAAATGACTTAAGAGGAATTATGTGTCGTTCAGGACTAGATCCCCAACCCACGTGTTTGTTGGCGGCACTACATGGCACGACCCATCACAGCCTCGATTAATCAGTTTATGGAAATCAAAGTAGGTTGCGGAAGAGAACATACAGTCACTTCACCTCTACTATCGGTATCATCCACAGCTCACACAGATAGATCAATTCAACGTCGAAGGCCCATCGTTCAACATGGAGCACAGGAAACACCTGCACGTTAAAATTTAGAAGAGAGAGGACATTATAATAAAGTGCATAAAAGGAAATGAGCACTAAAAAAACGAATGTAACAAGAAACAAACTCTAGCTGCTGCTGCCCGGGTGAAAAGTTTGAATCCGCATTGCGTATCTCGAACAGTTCGTGAAGAAAATAGGTATACCAACAAGTGAAAACCATGCATCAAAATGTTACGAAAAAGGGAACGTGTTGCGACTGCTTCAGCTTCCAAATGAGCTCTAAACACAAAAAATGTAGGAAATCAAACGATTTGGACAAGTTGTTCAATAGTCTTACGTACAAAGACGGACTATCCTTCGAGTAAATTTTGAGAATTTATTCAGATGATGACAATATGAGCAAACCTCGATCCGACCGCGACAACGGGAAAGGTCTCGTCGAGACCACGACTTATTCGCAACAGGCTTCTTTCCAGCTTTTCAATGTCCGAGAACTTTGTGGCGCCATCAGCATCGGCAAAGAGAATTAACTTTCCGCCACAGTGCAGAACACCGTTGCGAACAGCACCTCCTGTACAAATAGGAGATAGATTCGATTCCTACGTAGATCGCCGCGCATGCCATGCAAGACCCTCTTTCAGCTTTTTCAAACACTCATTTTCTTGATGAGATTTAGGAATATTCGGAGCGATTTAGAGAACACCGCCTATCCCTATTAAATCACGAAATATCTGGAACCCCAACGACGGTCACTTACCTTTCCCGAGGTTCCGTTCCAGTTTCAAAACTTTCAGCAAGCCAGGATGTTTACGACCGTAATCTGCAGCGATGTCAGCGGTTTCATCAGTGCTTCCATCGTCAACAACTAAAACCTAAAATAAAAGTAAGGAATTCAAAAAACGACAAAAGGCACATTTCGCATTGATGGAAGAAGAATTAAAGGAATTCTGTCAAGACTACATAAACCAACTTCAAAAGTGAAATTTTCCTCTTTTTTCGCTCGTTGAAGCAAATAATCGAAGCATTCATCTAGCATGGTTGGCAGTCGATCCTTAAGTGTAACAATAAGTCACAAGAAAGGCACCAAAAGAGTAACTCCGCCCTACTAATTCAGGCTAGACAAATAGAAGTAGTCAGAACACAGTTCAGAACACAACAAACACCCGATAGAAGTCAGTATTCGAGAGCTAAATCTTTTTAATTTTGATCTTAACGACTCTTCCTACTTACTGAATCACATGTAAGAAGCACAGGTAAGATTTTGATATACAGAGCTCCTTATAGAAACTTTGTGGCAGAAATGATTAGATCTTGTTCACCCCACGAAGATTCCCCATTGTAAACTATGCCTGATATGCTTCGAAGAAGTAAACAGCTCTCCTCACCTTCTCATTCATAGCCGGCACGATAACAGACAAGTACACCGTTGATTCCGTAAATAACGGCCTCTCGTGGGGATCATCACGAAGAAGATTTTTCAATCTGAACAGGGTCAGCTAACGTGCTTCGAGGACAGGTGCAACGTTACGACAATTCAAGATAGTAGTGGACAGACACTTTTCCTTCGCCTTTGCTTTCATATGCTTTCACAGGGACGAGAAAATCTTTTCTCTTTCTCTTTGGCCATGAAGTGAGACTCGATAACCTGAACACAGACATCCAAACAAGTGGCAAACAATACTACCTCCGAAAAATGAGACTTACACGAAAAGACTACTGAAAGCCAACGCTGTAATCGTAACACCAAATACTAAGAGGTTTGTCAGCGTCAGTTTACCAAACAATAGCGTCAACAACAACATCTGAAATCACAAACAATTGAGCTCCATATAATTAGCAGACATTGTTGTCGATATAGCTATTGTAGAAGAGCTCTAATATAAACACGTAACAAGTACACAGCGATAGATTCTGCGCCCTACCACTAACAAGAAGTTTGAGTCTGAAAGTTGCGGATAACTAGAACATTTGGTGCCATGGCTCTGCGGCCTTGATCATTGAATTGTGAAAATTCCCTCACCCACAAGCCACTCTACCATTGGATGAGGAACATATTTTGTATTATGTACCACTTTTTTCGGTTGAGAAAAAAAACCTCGACAACACTTCCCGATGAGAATGAAAATGAAGCAAAAGCCTCCATCCCCACCCCGCTGAGCATAGTGCGATGTAAGTGATTAGAACAAGAGCGAGTAATTGAAGTTAGTGCTTAAAACGCCACATTGACTCCACTGTTGTAAAACAATTTTTGAAATAATGATATACTACAGACTTGGGTAATACTGTCCGTAAGCTTTTTGCGACCAATACATGTTGATTGACGCCTTAAAGGAGTATAAAGCCTAGGTGTAACTTGTTTTCGGACTGAAAATTTCATCTTGTGGTAAACAGAACAGAGAAAAACAGTGTACAAACAGTAAACAGTCTGTACCCAATCAGATTAACGTGGTACTCGAAGAAAGTTTGCCGGGGGTGGAAAGGTTTTGCCCTAGATTGCTGATGGATCTCCGAGAAGACAGACTGCTGGCAGATGAGGACCGCGGACAGGGGCAGAGTCATTTCTGAATTTTTTACATCTCATTATAAAAAAAATCCTTCAAGAAAGTATTTGAGAGTATAGCGTTTCATCGCAGATCTCCCCTTTGATTTACTACTTGATAGCGAAAGAGCCTGCTAGAGGGAGATCCATCTAGGACTAGTTGCCCTAACGTGATTTCGGCTACAAAAATTTCTTCATGCGATAGTCATCAGTGGAGAAATCTTTAAAACTGAGCTCGGGAACGGCTCCAGCCAGCCAGCCAGCCGGCTTCCGGTCGAAGTGTTTGAGCGGGGCGTACTTATTCGTCTGCTGTCTAATCCGACGTAAGGGATGCAGAGGAGAACGGTTAGAGATATCCCTTAACGATGGCTAGTTGAGGACAAATAAAGATTTCCAACTACTTCCAAAATCGAGCAGCACAAGTTCGGGTTTCAGTTCAGTCCGAGGACGAAGCCAAAGTCTTGTCTCCAACTCAGGTCTCACAAGGATAATGAGTTGGAGACAAAACTTCGGCCTCGGACGGAATTGAAACTCGTACTTGTGCTACCCCGATTTTTGAAGCCGAACTAGTTGATGAACCGAAATTGTCCTCAACTCGCCATTTTTGTGGGAAATTTGAATCTTTCTGGGATAGGATTGCCAAAAATCTGCTCTGAAATCCTTCCTAAGAGAGTATACACTTTCTATAGTTGGAGGATAAAGTATTCGAGCGTTGATCAATCTCGTCTGAGGGATGCGCCCCGCATTCGACTTCCATTCAGAATCATGGTGGCGTTATGAATGCGTATGTAACCTATACAATGACTTGCGGTGGCCTGTCGATAACAAGTCAGTGTTTTTTATCCACCCAGACCAGTCTGGTACCAATTAACCGACCCTGGAGGGATGGAAGGCCTGGTTGGCCTAGGCGGATATCGATCCGGGATTCGAACCCGTGACAATGCGTGTGCAGTAGTGCGCCATTTGCCACTACACCACCTCCTAGTTACTGCAGCAAACTTATTATTACTGTGTTCTGATATTTTTTTGCATATTTGTACTTATAAGGCCATTCTAATCCTGCTATTGGTACCGAGCATCGAAACCTAGAAAAATCAGAGCTGAAAGGACCCTGCAAACATTTTTCAGAAACGGCATATTGTTGCTGAATGTTTTGATTTTTGGGTAACCATATCCTGGAACGCGGACATTCCGTTTGCTTTTTGGAATGTGGGAACATTTCAGTGTTTGCAGAGCAGTAAACGTCTTCTGTGCTCATGGGAGATCTTTATATGCATTGATTTTTGCTGTGTATAGAAAACGTGTGTTGCTGAAGACTTCTCCAGTGATGATGGCAGGTACCACTGTGGTTTTTTTTTTCGAATTTTTTCATGCGTTAGAAAACTTCCATTTCGAATTTCGTTTTTTCAGATGCACCTTTGAGGGTATAGATTCTTGCGATATATTAAAAATGGAATTGATTAATACCAACATATCTAATACGTTATACATTTGCTAGCTTAAACTATGGAGACTTTCATACAACATTGAAATACGAGTTTTCTGAATTTTCATAGATTCATTTCCAGGCAGAGGTGAAGCACACGNNCCTTCGGATGGGTGGCCCCCCCAACTACATTTTCACCCTAATACGTTGTACATTAGCTAGCTTAAACTATGGAGACTTTCATACAACATTGAAATACGAGGTTTCTGAATTTTCATAGATTCATTTCCAGGCAGAGGTGAAGCACACGTACGATCTTCAAGCTATGATCGAGATGCTGGAAGAACAACATGGAGTCCAACGTACCAACGTATATTTCGTGAATTCTATCCAGATAGCTCTTGGAAGGAAATGGAAAAGGAAGCACAACTTGTATCGTTAGTGAAAATTCGCGATTGAGTTCAATGCTGATCATTTTCCACCGGTGAGACGAAAAGGCTTCTTTCAGATCTCCCGAACAGCATGCTGAAAGACCGGAAAGATGGGAGCGTCAGCGTGAGTATAATATCATGGAAAATGGAATATTTATCAAAAAAGAAAGCTCCAACGGGTGTTCAACCACTGATAGTTCTTTTTTTGATTCTTCTGACCGCTTTTATAAAATTCTACAGGAAATCGGCCCTGATCTTATTCCAGAATTTTCTAGTTATTTTCCACTCGGCTGACTAACTCATTTTGTAACTCTGCTGCTTGCCCGCTGGTGTCTTTGTTTGATGATGTGACTAGATGCCTCTAATTTTTCTGTAGCTTTGCTTATTGTACTCTTTTTTTATTTTTTAAAAATTTTTTCAGAGTAGGGTGAAAATTTCAAGGTTGCACCAACCTCTCATTGAAATATGAGAACATTGAAATGCGGCAATAAGCTTATAAATTCTTCAGAATCTTCTCAGAGCGCTGATAGCCGATCACCAAAACGTGTGCTGATCAACGATGAGGAGGCCAAAAGTGAGCTGACGAGGAAGACTTCAGAACAACGATTCTCAGAACTAAGCACTCCGTCAAATATGGAGGATATGCTCGTCGTATGTTTTACCTGAGAACACACTTTCTTCGAAAGCCAAAGATTACAAGCAAAACGTCTTACGCTCAACCGAAAGAAAATAGGAATCAGAAATTGCTGTGCTAAGCACCCTTAAGTTATCTTGAAGGGTAAGATTTGTATTAACAGAGGATGGTTACGGTAATTGCTGCGAATGCACCCCCGCCAGCATGTCCACGACTGGGGCAATTTGGATAGAAACTCCATCACCCGCTTGAGCTTGGGCTATTCTCCTAATCCCCACTTTCGCATTTCAACAGTACTGGTGCTCGATGAAGGTTCGGTCTGTCTAGGTTGTTAATTAATAGATATTAGTCATAATCAAAATTAATGATTAATTATTTAAGGATAGCGATGTGATCACATTCGTAAGAGACGTGTTGAGAAACGAATTTCCCGACGGAAGTTTGAACTTTGATGGGAGTCAGGATCAACCGGTCGAAACTGTTTTCAGGAAGACGTTGAGATTCAATGGAAAACATAAGGTGAACTTTAAAAATTGGATCAAAGCTCGAAAAATTGGATTCAAGTCAATGAACTTCAATCTGATTATTTTGAAGAGGTGACACAGCCACGTCTGAAGCAAACTATCTCTTACTTGAACGGTTGACCTCCCTACATAGATAGGCGGTTCAGTCAAAGGAGCAGGATTATTGAAGCCCAGTAGGGTCATATGACCCTACTGTGCTTCAATAATCCTGCTCCTTTGACTAGACGGCCAGTCTGCCCAGTACAACGCTTTTCGAGCAGTGTGAGGGCTACATACATTCTAACGCTGCAGTCAAGAAAGGTCGTAGAACTATTTTTTGCTACCTTTTTCTATTTGAACGGAGAAGTTCAGCTGACCGCTAAACATTCGTAAAGTGAATCGGTGATACTTGGGCATTGCAGACAGTTTATGTACATCTACGGAACCACGTGAGTACTACGACTGGTGCTGGTGTTGTCAAAAACATTGGCAGCAACTCGCAGTCGACTTCTCTTTCATCACCCACAACGGTAATGTCTCCTCAAAGGTCCGTTTCTGCAAGCTTTGCCTGTACTCTCATTTCTAACCGTTTGATCGAAAGCTTTCAACAAGTTTGACTTCATGCCTCCGCTTAGCCACGGGATTCTGTCTTGCCGTTTTCGATCGCTGCTTCCACCACGGCACCCATTTAAGCCAGATGAAATGAGAAAAATCGCAATTGTGAAGAAATTCGTAGTAAATAGTGATAGTCCAAGTGGCTGAAGGGATGCGTAGCTCTCTGACGTCCTGTTAACACTTTTTTCGAGCGGACTCCAGTAACGAGTGTATTCTACTCATCGTTAGCCCATTTGTCCATTAGACCCCTTCCACGGCCATTGATCATCACTTTACCACAAGCATTGTACAGCGATCGAATCCATCTCTACCAGACTCTCCTGTACAGTACTTTGCAGTGACCGAGTGGGCGATTCTGGAGCTCATACAAAGGCATCGTCATGGTCAGGACCTCACGTTCCAACCCCTGTTCCTTCCGTAATCTCTACCAATACGTTCCACAGGTCAGCAAGATAGATAGACTTGCGACTTCACTAGAGCCTGCTTCCATTCAGACATTTTCAGAAGTTTTTCCACAAGTCCGAAGCGTGACGGCCCTTACAAAGCAGAATCCCAGAAACTAAACGAGCCCTATACAGAAACGCTCGAAAGCCCAGCTGAGATCTTGGAGAGGAAGCTCACAAGGAAGGAGCTTTTAGGTTGTTTTTTGTCAATGGAGCGAGAATATCATGATTTTCGGCTTTCATTATCCCACTTTAATGTATTGAGTTGAGCTCTTCACAAAATCAATTATTAAACTTTATTCTGATGTATCTAGAAGTTATTGATACATCGTGTAATATCTGGCATTCTGCCAGTCTAGGAATGTTTTTGTTTACTCTTTAAGTGGAGACTTATTTTAGTGGTCTGTAGTCAATTCGAGTTGCAATTAGATATTGCATTTTCATATCTAGGTTCATTATCCTCTTCAGATCGATCAGAACTACTGGCTCTGAAACGAATCCACTGTAATCAAGTTGAAGATGATGAAGAAGAACTCGATCGGTTATTACGTTTTCCAAGGAGAGATGTACGGCGAATACAGATTCTACGTGACAGAATAACTGACCGCTATAAAACCTATGAAGTAAGTGCCCATCGTAAACAATTCTTCTTGCTTGGAATAACCATGAGTGAGCTGCTTGTTTGCTCGGTGATTCAGCAAAGGATAACGATGTAGGTGAAGAACGGTTGGGAGCTACGGTCCTCCCAGTCTCTTTCTAAAGAACAGCTCGAATAGTACTCAGATACTTTCGGAATGTGTAATGGAAGACGAAGTAACTCGACCATGTTCAAATCTTTCGAAATTCCTATGTTTTTTGAAAACGGAGAATTTCCTCGTGTGTGGACGACTGGCCCGAGTGATGCCACTGCCAGTGGAGCTGTGGAAACATTGATGAAAGCTTTTGGTTCGCTTTGACGGTCATTTAGGAGCTGGCTGCCTTCGAAAGCAGCAACATTCATGATTGCTCACACATTGGCTGGAATGACCATGGCATTACTTAGACCGTTTGCTTGTATGCAGATGTTTTAATTTGAGATGAAGGTCGAGCGCTTGGCCTTCGCCAGAAAGGCTGATCGACGCCAGGCATTTTCCACTTCTACAACATTGTTGGTTAAAACACTTCGATTTGCAGGAAATCCTCGAGATGGCACGTCCTTCTAAATCTGCTCTACTTGCACATCGAATTCTTCTTGCAGACGCATATCTTTTCCATGCAAAAGTTGAACAAAGTGAGGTCTTTTCCGAACTCTGCCCTCTGATTCTTTCCGTTGAAACAAGTGATCAGTTGTGGACCTCAATGAATGGTAGAGGTTGCGACAAAACTAAATAGAAGCTTTGGACTGTTTCACCCCAATAGTTAAAATGGGAGAAAATGCCTTGACACGTTTTGGCTCCCCCTTCGATAGTGCATGTATTGCCGTACCCTCCTGCTTTCTGCTGTATTGCTCAGCCAAACCTTCTAATTGTAAGTATAAACTCAGAAATTGAGTGGTAAATATGGAGGCTAGTGAACGACTGTGAGACCGTTTCCGTTATGATTTTGAACGTTCCGTGGTTTTCCTGTATCTTTGGAACTAAAACTAAAAACAAGTGAACAATTGGTAGGAGTTCAATATATTATTTATTGTTAGCTGTTTTATTTTATATCCATTTTTTATAGCTTACTCTTCATATATTCCATCTTTTAGCAGTTGCGTGGCTCAATGAAATTACAGAACTTTAGCGAAATAGAATTGGTGGTAGCTGATTTCAGAAGTAGGGGGAGGGGGAAGGGGGGTTGGGGAATAGGGTGCAACGAGCATAACCGTCTTTCATTGAATGAAAACCAAATTTCCTGGCTGATTTCCGAAAGAGCTGTCGCTGTACGGTGTTGACGGGATTGTAGTCGCTTTAACGACCAAATCTAACAATCTATTTCCTACCAACATGTTGTTGGTTACCGCTTTCAGCCCTGCTTAGAGCACTTCAATGGAAGAAAACATTAAACTTTTTTCAGTGAATCATAGGTGTCAGAGGAAATTATATCAGCTGGCAGTGGAGATCTATAGAGGGCTACTGAATCTGGCAAGAGAATGTCTTCCTGCTGATGATGCTTCACTTCTTACACTTGCTGAGCGAATCTCTTCAATACTAAGTGAAAGCCGCTCTCTTCAACCCGATCTTATTGTTGAAATCACATCAATACTTGACGACGCTGAAAAGAGTAAGTTACTGGTACTTTCTTTTCATTACGTTGCTGAGCCTCTTGTTCCTATCAGAGTGGCAATGTTGAGCTTTTCTTTGAGTAAAACAACAAGATTGCTGACAAACGATAAAACTAACATGGAGGAGTCTTAGGGACACTTGGGGGCAAAAACAGCTTTAATTAAAAACCTGGAGGTCTAGGCTAGTTTCACTAATAGCATTAAATCTAATCATTTTATAGAGAAGTCGTGTAACCCACGAATGTTTTTAGGTCTCAACGAGAAGCCTGAAACGGAGTCAAGACGTAAAATCCGGAGAGCCAGACAGAATCTAGGAACACTGGGTGCCTTTTATTACGCATATCTGTAAACTGAAATATTCTTGTGATACTGAGCTTTTTGATCACTTTCTCTGTGGTTTTTGTTACCCAGTTATATTGCGAACAAGTCCCTCAACTTTTTTAGCCAATTTCTAGATCTTAATTCCCCTGAGCACTTCATTCATGTCTGGGTCTATCTGATCGCTGTCTCTTTGAACTGCTTTAATTCATGTCTCCTTTGAGCTGCAAATATTTGTCTAGAACATAACAGCAGTTTCCATCAAAGCATCTTTTAAGAATTGAGAGAAAAGAGTTGTCTTCACGATTTCGTCACTTACGGAAGTTGACGTCGCCCACTTCTTTTGACCGCTAGGCATGTTGTCTTCGACGTTGGCAAGAAATTTNAGGCTAGTTTCACTAATAGCATTAAATCTAATCATTTTATAGAGAAGTCGTGTAACCCACGAATGTTTTTAGGTCTCAACGAGAAGCCTGAAACGGAGTCAAGACGTAAAATCCGGAGAGCCAGACAGAATCTAGGAACACTGGGTGCCTTTTATTACGCATATCTGTAAACTGAAATATTCTTGTGATACTGAGCTTTTTGATCACTTTCTCTGTGGTTTTTGTTACCCAGTTATATTGCGAACAAGTCCCTCAACTTTTTTAGNCTTACGGAAGTTGACGTCGCCCACTTCTTTTGACCGCTAGGCATGTTGTCTTCGACGTTGGCAAGAAATGTCCACCGCGATATCGTCCATGCTGTCCCAGTCTATACTAGCAGTGGCCTATCATTGAAAAGAATCCAATTCGTCAATCGAGAGACCAGTCAGAGCATGGGTTTCTGGTCCTACCCAGAAAAGCTGTAAACTTTCTTGCGAGTAGTACCCTATGAACGGACTCAAATTGTTAAGAACTACCTTCTTTTGTGGATTATGCATATAAGGGCTGTAAGAAACGTGCACAAGCCTATCAAACGAATGAAATTGCTCCCTTTCGCGCAAACAAATCAGAGAAAGCCAGCCGATGCCAGTATTAAGTTCAGGTCGACACCATCCTACTTACTACATATAAAGCGCTTCGTCTGTCTGTATGTCTGTCACAAAATTCCTTAGCTTCTTTAGATCTGCCTGCAGAAACCGGGTCAGGCATGGGATGGTTGGCCATGTCCCTAAAAGTATAAAGCACACATCAGCTTGGCGGAGCCTCGCCCATTGTGGGCGTGGCGTGCATCGAAATGAGCTGTGCTGGGGACCATGATTTCAAATTCAGTCACAAGACAGCCTCAAAAGTGGGGTGTGAGGGTGGCTAGAGGTGTGCATTGGTAAGTTAGATGCAATTGGGGAGACCCACCCCCGATGGGCGGGATGTGCCTCGAAGCCCACATCCCTTCTTACATTTATATACGAAAATTCATGGCTTCAGTTCCCATGAACCTACAGAGTTCAAATTTGGTAGGAGTACAGGCAGCATGGTGGGAAAACTTATGGTGGGTGGCAGGACCAGACTCCGCCCACAAGGGGCGGGGTTTGAGCGGAAATTCATAAATCCGATAAAGGTCTATAATGGAAATCAGCTCATGTGGCTCCGCTTCTCATGGCTAGAGCCCCTAGCGCACGCGATAGCGTGCGTAGCCGCCTGGTCTAGAAATATATCACCAAAATGATGACAATGTCCGCCAAGTACAAATTAAGAGCCACAACCACTTTCCTTGTCAAGCGAAGGTTTTACTATGAGCGCCAACCAATCTATTGACGTATTAAGTCTTTCGTTAAATGGATTAAGAGGGATCAAAAAGATATTGTTCAGGGATTGTTGGAGGGAATTCCCAGAAGGACGTCAGTAATTGATAACCCTTCAACGCCGGACCACACCATTGCATCCGAACACCTAGTCTTAAAGCAATGTGTGAGTTGCTGCGGCGTACATCGTGCAGTTGAATCATACATGTTGATCATAGCAATGACGGAACAAGAAGGTGCTCAGCAGAAGTATTCATTATCCCTACAGTGAATGAGTGTTTTGACTGTCAGTTTGTGGTATGACACCAAACCTATGAGTGTGCCTCATTGGTGTGATATTGACGCATTGAGTCCCTCGTTAAATGGTATTAGGGAGAGGGAGGTAGGATGCATTCGTTTTCGCTCATGGTAACACTGCACAATCGCATGCCATCATTTTTGAAAGCGGCTTCTTTATTATCCTCGTCGCGCATGCGACGCCTCTACACACCCTTTACCCCTCAATTGAGGCTTAGTCAGGGATGTGGGTTGTCTGGTTTTGCGAATGCTGCATTTGCGCATGGCCACCATGAGAAGATATAAGTAACACCCACATCCGACTACCCAGTCTTCAGCATTGTACGACGTGCGATGTGAAACCGTTCTCCTACGTTGACTCGCAAAGTAGCTAATATTACAGAAATCCTTTTTTCTGGCCTTTAACTACCGCAATTTCACTTTTAAAGTACGGCACGGTTTATAGCGATTAAGTCAGCAATGATTTTGTTGATTCGTGGATTTGCCTGTTCTTTGTTTCTTCGAGACATATCACTTCTCTTCGCATCAGAATTCTTTAACTCTGCAATAGTGACGACGAGGACGTTTTTCGTTCCATGAATGATGTCGTTGACTTTATGACGTTTTTTGTGTTGCTGATGTTGTAAGAGCAAAATATTTTGGTTTTTATTGTTCACTCAGTGGTCATGAACTTTCATTCAAACCTGTTTGCTACGGCAGCTTGAGCACCACAACTAGTAGAACAGACATAAGTGCCCGTTGTATAACCGCACATGATTTATTCGATGAGTTCATAAGATGTGTTCCCTTTACAAGAAAATCCCACCTCTTCGGCAAAAGGACTAATGATAAGCGCTCTTATAGGAAACCGCGGATTGTTTACATGTTGCCGCAATCCCACTTATTTGAAGCACCCTCTTTTTACCGTTCTGTCCCGAAATTATTCTGTTTGATTCCATTCCTGTTATGCTAAATGCCTGTTACTGTTTGTGTATCATACGTTCAGCACTGTCGTTGTTACACTACGAAACTGTAAAAAAACACTTCGCAACCATCGAATTAACAGTCACATTCTCGCTCAAATCTAGACACCGAGGCTACTCTAGACGAACTTTCCTTGCATTTGTTTCAGTGTTTTCCTTATAATTATCGCAGCCAACTTCCTCAGTCGGGCTCTGTTTCTTTTGGAAGCAGTCATGCGTTCAACGACGTGATGAAACTCTAAGTTGCTAGACACGGACCTGAGAAAAATTCAAAAACGTTCCCTCGGTCCCTCTTAAGTTTCAATGCCCGATTAATCTTTCTAGGTCGAATGNATTTGTTTCAGTGTTTTCCTTATAATTATCGCAGCCAACTTCCTCAGTCGGGCTCTTTTTCTTTTGGAAGCAGTCATACGTTCAACGACATGATGAAACTCTAAATTGCTAGACACGGACCTGAGAAAAATTCAAAAACGTTCCCTCGGTCCCTCTTAAGTTTCAATGCCCGATTAATCTTTCTAGGTCGAATGGCCCAAAAGATAATGAAAGTCTAAAATTCCCGTAGACATCTTCTCAATTGTATCGGCAAGGTCTCGTCAGCACCACTGATTATTTACAGATAAGTTCGGTAACTCTTAACTGATGCAGGTGGATTCCCGGATTTTAATAATAGTTAACTTGTTTTTGTTTTGTATTTTGTTTTGTTTCGTTCCGAAGTGATGTTGTTGCCTCTTCATGCAGTGAATTTGTCATTATGCCCCATCAAGAATAGTTGAGTATTAATCTTCTCACGTGGGAGCGATTTCTGAGCATCCATTTGTGATGGAATTCTGCTGATGATTAGTCATAGAGGGGAGCGTATAGTTGCAATCTTAAGGCCGTCTGACAAGCTCTTGTTGAATCGTTGCAGTTTGCGTGGTGTGAGCCTATGCCGGGTCTTACTCGCTCGATGCTCTATTTGCCACCCGGGCCTGTTACTCCTTATTGGCTCCGGTATCCGCAGTACACTGAGGACTTCATGTCCAGTGCGGAGTTCCCTCTACACACTGGAATCCAAATTGGACTTGTGCGCACCTTACGCTCCGTGCTCTAGGCGGCCTTGAATGTACAGAATGATTTCGACAATATCAGTACAGTAAGCACACAGAGTAATTACGTAACTATATGAGATTACCACAAATATAATAGTTGATGTGAAGGTAAACTGTTATAAGTGCGACAAGTAACATCGGACTAAGTACTACCACAAGGTACTGCAAACAAATGTACAAAAATATTTATAAAATCACATTAGAACACACGGGCGGGTCCGCCTTGCCTAGGCTCACGCGACCCATTCGAGACTTCCAACCTCCTACGATGATTAAGCATCCTGGTCCATCCAGTTGGCAGATTTCCGGATGTTCCTTTTTTCGATAAGGCTGACTGCGATATTCCCAGCACTGGATAATAGATGGCAGATGGAGAAAAGATGCAGCAATGCCAACAGAAGTCGTGGCAGTATTCGGAGCCGAACGATGTCATCGGCACGATGAAGGACGACTGCGGAGGATCACAGGGGAGTATCTTGACCAGTACACATTGGAAACTGACAGGAGCTATTCCTTCCTTCAACTTTTTGCTACTCTTCACGCCTCTAAGACTTTTTGCTACTCTTCATGCTTATTCTGGTCTTTCAGAGCGCTATTTAAAGCCCTTGAACGGCCTGGGATCGTAGGTATGAAGGTCACCTCGACCAAAGCAGGTTAATATCAGGTGTTGCCTGACAACGTTTGCTGGCGTAGCTACAATTTAGGGTGGTTATAGCTTAGAGTGTTTGAAAACATAGCGAAGGCACTGAGCAATTAGTAGCGCCTATGCTTCTAGTTCTACAGTATGCTGATCCTAGTACGTGAAATAGTGCCATATTCATGAGTTCCCAATCAAAAACTCAAGTTGAAATTGATAGATAGCCACGACTCTCACGTTGTCTATTCTGTGACCAAACCTGTCCCACTAGTTCTCCTAGCCGTTCTCGAAGTTACACGACAAATATCAACATTAGTCGTCTCA